TGACTTTTGCAGCCACAAGCCACGTATTTAATCAGTAAGGCACACCCACTGAGAATGCAAACAGTGCTCTACCCATCCCTTTCAATTGCCTATTCTACCAATAAACACTGCTTCTTTCTTTCAAAAATGCAATCTAATTGAATTAGCCAGTTAACACTCTGTCCCAGGGCACTAGCATCTTAGGATACCTTGGGCCACCTGAAAATTAAGTCTGCCTTGGTTGCACACCCAAGTTCTAAAAAAAAAAAAACCACTATCATATATAATTGTAGAATTCTTACTAAAGGGAATTCCTGAGAATATCAAAGGACCCTGGAATCTTTCAGAACCAGTTACTAAAAATTAAAATGTTCTTGCTGTTGGTGTAAGAGCATTTGAAATAAAATTCCTGTCCCAAAAGCTATAAGTACTTGTTACATTATTTCTGCAAAGCCCTGAGATCTTGAAGATGTTTCACTGGCTCTGCACAACTTCCCAGCTACTCTTCCTGTTCCTGCCTCTCCTTTTGGTCGACTACTAACATGTGAAACCAGCAGCTACTGATTCCTCCCAAAGAAAAGCTGGCAGCTATTTTGTGAAACATCCTTCATTCGTTATTTGCCCCCGTTAAGCGTTTGCAGCACACTGAACGCTTCATGTCTACTTTCCTGTCTTACTCTTTAACACAACTTGTACACTAATTTCTCTTTGAAAATCTTATTTATTCTAGTAATTTTAAGGTTCCCTTTGGGCCAGCCATAGAATAGTAGGTTAGCCTCCACTGACATCCCATATAGGTACTGGTTCAAGTCCCCGTTGTTGCACTTATGCTTCTGGGAGAGCAGAAGAGGACAACCCAAAGTTCCTACAGCTGAGCGGCACACTGGGAAGAAGCTCCGGGTCCTGACTTCGCCTGGCTCACTCCCGGAGGCTTTAGTTATTTACAGAGTAAATCAGTGGATGATGATTTCTGTCTCTCTTCTCTCCCTCTTGAACTCTTTCTAACAAATAAATAAACATATTTTTAAAAATATATCTCTTTAACAACATCATTAACATCAAACTTTAAGAACAAACAAGCAGGGCCAGGTGCAGCAGCCTAGGGCTAAAGTCCTTGCCTTGCACACACCAGGAGCCCATATGGACACCAGCTCTAATCCTGGCAGCCCCGCTTCCCATCCAGCTCCCTGCTTGTGGCCTGGGAAAGCAGTCAAGGACGGGCTAAAGCCTTGGAACCCTGCACTCGCGTGGGAGACTCTGAAGAGGCTTCAGGCTCCTGACTTTGGACCAGTACAGCTCTGGCCATTGCGGCTACTTGGGGAGAGAATCAGCAGACGGAAGATATTCCTCTCTGTATACCTGACTTTGCAATAAAAAAATAAATCTTAAAAAAAAAAGCAAAAGAACAAACAAGCAGAGGCCAGAATGGTGGCTCAACAGGCTAATTCTCCCCTTTACAGCACCGACATCCCATGCAACTCCTTGCCTGTGGTCTGGTAAGCAGCAGAGAATGCCTAAGTGCTTGGGCCCCTGCATTCACATGGGAAAACCAAAGTTAGCTCCTGGCTTGGAATTGGCTCAGCTCCAGCCATTGCAGCCACTTGGGGAGTGAACCAGCAGACTGAAGATCATCTCTCTCTTTCTGCTTCTGTCTCTCTGTAAATCTGACTTTCAAATTAAAATTAAAAAAAAGAAAATTCTTTCTTTAAAAGACAAACAGGCGTCCAGCGCAATGGCTCAATGGTCTAATTCTCCCCGTTCAGGTGTCAGGGTACTATATGAGTGCCAGTTTGTATCCCATCTGCTCCACGTCCCATCCAGCTCCCTGCTAGTGACCTGGGAAAGTGGTAGAGGACAGCCCCAAGCTTTGGGACCCAGCACCCACGTGGGAGACCCAGAAGAAGCTCTTGGCTTCTAGCTTCAGATTAGATCAGCTCTGGCCGTTACAGCCACTTGAGGAGCAAACCTCTGGTTGAAAGAGCTTTCTCTCTGTCTCTCCTCCTCTCTGTTAATCTGCCTTTCCAATAAGCATTTAACAAAATAAAAATATACGAACTTACATTTCAAGTGCAACCAAAATGTGGCATTATTTCATCAAATGTTACAAGCTCACTACGTAATGCAACTGTGCTGCCTGTGCCCTGCAAATCCTCTGGAGGCCATTAGAAAAGGGACAGCCCCCTGTCAAGACTGGTTCTCATAAAGTCCTACAAACAGACAAAGGGGCTCACTTACAGGAATCCTTGAAGGTTCCTTCTAATTTGACTTCTGTCGAGGTTTCCCTAAGGCTAATTGCCACCTTCACCTCAAATATAAAGCCTCATCCTCCTCCCACTCACAAATGGCAGAGGGAAAAATTCCTGCCTTATTGTTCAGCTGCTACTCCGGTGAGAACTGTGTCTACCACCACCATTAAACAGCCACATCCAACTGTTTCCTAATTCCTTCCTCCCACAGCACCTACCTAATCCAGCTGTAAACCCAAGTCCAAGTTACTCTCTCTGCACACATTCCTACAGGCATGGTCAGGAGTGAGAGCGACCCCTACAACTTCCTGAAGTTTCCCTCCTTTAAGAGATGGCCCTCGGGATATGCAAGGAACTGAATCCACATCTCAGCCGTGTGACACTCAGTGCAGTAAAGGCCTGACACGTCATGCTACTCTGTGAGCCTAGAGTCTTGCACGGATTTTGAAGCCAAAGTGGGCAACATCTCACCCAGACTGAAAGAAAAAACAGTCCAGGCTGCAGCACTGGCATATCACTTCAAACAAAACAACTTCAAAAATATTTTCAAAGCACTATCATGGTGGATTAATGGGCTAATCCTCCAATTGCAAGCTCCAGCATCCCTTATAAGCACTGACTGGGTCCCTGCTGCTCTGGTTCTGATCTCTGCTTGCGGCCTGGGAAAGCAGCAGAGGCTGGCTCAAGTCTCTGGATCCTGCACCCACATGCGAGACTGGGAAGCACCTCCTGGCTTTGGATTGGTTCAGCTCCAGCCATTGCGGCCACATGGGATGTAAACCAGTGCATGGAACATCTTTCTATCTCTCCCCTGTAAATCAGCCTTTCCAAACAATAAATAAATAATTCTTTAAAATATATCTATACACATTTTTTCCCAAGATACTCTACTGCTCCCATGAAGTTATTTACATGTCTTTTGCTTGAGAACAAGATCCACAGCTGACCTTCCCCTGGGGCAGACCTGAAGTCTGTTTGAGAAGCTGTGCCACAGACAGCACTTCTGGAGGGTGCGCTGCCACCTGCATCACAGTGCCAACTGCCACTGATGGGCTTTAAGGGAGCATCTCCACTAACATGTTCCATTAGACCAGTCAGACGCGACCGGCACGGACTTATAAACTGCCTTTCGCTATGTCTTCGTGTTACTGGCTGGCCAATCACCAGCACCCCACCAGCTGGGAAGCACGTACGGCAGGGAGGAGCTTGGGTTGCTAGATCAGACCACACTTGTAGGGACTGCAGAAGCACACACACAGACCTCTTCTAAGTGCCAACTCTCCTCCTGGCTTCCTCCTTCCTGTGAAAACCACATCTCACTCACTTCACCTGCAATGCCAGAGAATTTAATAATCCCAACAATGGCGTCTCCCTGCAACATTCTGTACCATTTAGACCTCCAGGAACACAAATTCTTCCACTACTTTTGGTGAGGCGCTCACCCACTCACATCTTAAAAAGTGAAAGGGCACCATGCTACGGCATAGCAAACTAAGCTTCTCTCTGCTTTGCTGGCAACCCAATTCGAGTGCTGGTTCAACTCCCAACTGCTCCTCTTCCCATCCAGCTCTCTGCTTGTTGCTTGAGAAAGCAACAGAGGAAGGCCCAAGGCCTTGGGACCCTGCAAGTGAAAACAAACCTTCCAAACCTGCGGGTAGCACTTTGCCTGAACACCTCACACAGAGCAGCGGTCAACGCTCTTTCATCTCTTACCCCCAACTCTCACGGCTCATCACCTCCACACAACCTGGGGAGAACCACTGTATCTTCCCCTTTCATACAGGCCTGCCTCTCAAAGCTACTGATCTGGGGAGGAGGCCCGCCAGGCACCGATGCTAAAACCCCATCATCCATCCACACTTGCAAGTCACACTCCTGCTGCCGCCGAGGAGAACAAAGTACTTGAAAAGAAGTCGTGGTCTTCATGCCAGAAGCAGGCGTAAACATTAAAGTCCTCAGCACGTGATCCCCACACCCCCAGGCTTGCATCTTAACCGCCTCACCCCGGCAGCAGATGACCTGTCAGCCCAGGGCACTGGAAGGCGGACACCTAATTCAGATCTTTTCGGAGCATTTTAGGGCTGCCCGGCCTTGCGGGATGACTCAGCCCTGGTTAATTAGTATAGGGCGACTCATCCAGGGTTACCATCGGGTAGAACCAGCTCCCTAGCGTGCCAGCTCTCCAGCTCCTAGCTCTCACCGCCGACCACCGCACTCAACCTGGAGCCTGGGCTGGGCGGGAGCTAACGCCGCTGGGGGAAGGGGCCGGGGCCAATAGCTTCGCCCGTGGAAGGGACCAGAAAGCGGCTGCGGAGAGACCCCGAGTCTCGTCTGCACCTGGCCCCTACCTCCGAACTTTCTTTGCCTCCCTAAGTCCCCAGACCGCGGCTGCATGACTCTCCAAGAAGCAGCAACCGCCTCGAGGGTGTGAGGACCGGAACCTGGAAGTGGGGTGTTGGGGAGGAGGGACAGGAGCTGAGAAGCGAACGCCAAGGGCGTCCGTGGAGCGACCAGCGCCTCTCAGGGCGGACGACCCGCACATCTGGCCGGAGCCGTCAGAGGAAGGGACCCGGAGCTCGGGGCACAGCTCCAGCCTCGGGAGGGACAGGAGAGCCCCCCACGCCGCCACCCTCGGAGCCTCCCGCCTGCCCCCTCGGGAGGCCGAGGCAGCGGCCGGACATCGCCGCCAGCGCTCCTGAGCCGCGCCCGGCCGCCCCCAGCCCTCGGCGTGCCCCCGGCCCAGCGACCCCGGCAGCCCGGTCCCATCCATCGTACCTGGCCCGAGGCGGCAGCGGCGGCGGAGACAACGGCGCTGCTCCTCACGTACCCGTTCCGCACTTCCCCGTTCGCCACGCAGCCGTTCGCCCGCACCGGGCGGCGGCAACAGCAGCCTCCCGGCCCCGGCCGCATCGTCCCAGCAGCACCGGGGACGAGGCAGGATCTGTGGGAGGTGGCGGCGGCGGCGGCGGCGGCTCCAAGTCCCGCTCCACACCCCACCCACCTCCCCGAAACCGGAAATGGCTGCAGCCCCGCCGCCAATTCCCGGCCGGGCCGTCACGCGGGGGCGGGGCCGACTCTCCAGAGGACCCGGGCGGGGAGAGACGGGGCGGGGACGAGCTGAGGACGGACGCGGGCCTGAGGGGACGCTGACCAATCTGTTGGAGGAGGAGGCGGACCCCATGCTGCGGCCTGGCCAATCACAGGCAAGAACAGAGCAGCTCGCGTAGGTAAGAGAGGAGGACTTGGCTTCTTAATGGTTCAAACGGGAAGGGTGGGCTGAGTCCAGCAAGAAGTGGCCAATTAGACTGGAAGCAAAGACTAGAGGCTGGGCCTGAATCTCCAGAGCGGGTTTCCCAGTTTTCCCGGACGGGGGGCGCCCTTTCTGCCCTTGCCTATTGGGAGGTTCCTTCCTTTGAATTCCAGAGCAAGGCAGGTAACTCTTTTATTTAATTAGCGAATTCCTCTGTGGATATCTATAGGCTAGCCCTTTTTGACAATATCACCGTCCTTTAGTTTGCAGATATACCTTCTCCTGCCCTTCATGTTTGTCCCCGCCAGGGTTTCCCGTGCAGTTTCCTTTTGAGTTTTCCTTGAAAGTCAGGAAACCCGATCTAATTCCAATGCTGCCAGTAACTGGTCATTAAAACCCGGTCTTTAACCACTTTAAGAGCCAAATTCTTTACAAGGGCGTTCATACGTCTTGCCTCATACACCCCATTGCAGGAACTATATTGCTAAAGCAAGATGCACCTGTCGTATTACTTGGAGCATAATATTGTGTTCTCACCTTTTTAGTCCTATTGTTCCTGGATTGTTTAGAAAAGAAACATTAGGCACTACAGCAAGAAATGTTTGGTTATCCCCTGAGAATTCAGTTTAAAGGACTGGTGCTGGAACGCTTGCATCCGACATTGGAGCGCCTAGCCCAAGTCCTGGCTCCCCCACTTTCCTGCCCAGCTTCCTGCTAATGCACACCCTTAGGAAGGCAGGTCATGACTTATGTACTTGGGTTCCTGCCACTGATGACCCAGACAGAATTCTAGGTTCCTGGCTTCTGCCTGGCCTATCCCTGCTGTTACAGCTACTTTGGGAGTGAACCAGCAAAGGAGAAATTTCCTTCTGTTTTCGTCTCTCTTACTCTCAAATAAAATGAAAACAAAGTAAAGATAAAAAGGAGATTTAAAAGGAGATGCAGTCATACTCTGAAGCAGGTCTGTATCCTGACTGGGCCCACTGACTGACTGAACTCCAGCTTCATTTTATTTATGAGAATGATAATAGTTGTCCTGAGGCTTTAGTGAATTAACATATGTCATGAATATTCAATAGGACATGGCAATTAGCAATTATAAAGTGTTGGCTATTATTCATGGATGACTGCATCCATGGATGCCTCTGCCCTTTCCTCCAACCCTGTAGGAACATTGGTGGTGGGGCAGGGGGGATGTTACAGGTATCAGTTTTTGCAGAATTTAGAAGCTGAATATCCTGTTTGGACCATCAAACTCAATGTGGACCTAAGGCTGCATAGGTGAGGCTGAAAAAAAAAGGCTTATGGTGCCTTTTTCTAATGAGAGACAAGAAGCACACATATAGAGAAAACAACAAGAAAAGGCCGTTCAAAGGTGCCAGAGATTAGACCCCAGTAGTTCCTTGGGGGCGGTAGATGGCAGGGCAGGTTAACTCACCGTGTGGGTAATTTTTAGGGCAAGAATCTGGTTGGACACAGGCCAAGGGATTTCAGTGACACCCAGACACAGGGCAAAGGTGATGAATGTACCTGGAGAGGGCTTGGGATGAAGATGTACAATGAGCTGGCTCTTGAGAGATGAGAGGCTTTGGAGAGCTGGACATGAGGAGGAAGAAAGGGGTGCTCTGGAGGGAGCGAGCCTTTCAGAGCCCAGTACAGCAGGTGTCAAGAAGCAAAGCCAGAACTGGAGGTGAAGAACAGTGACGGAATCTGGCCAGGTTAGAGGAACCCTGTTAGCCCATCGCTGCTTCCCCGGGGCAGGATACCTGCTTCTGCCTTGTTCTGCTGCTTACTCATGATGTGTGCTCTTGGACGAGTCATGCAAACTTAGCCCTAGTTTCCTAACTCGTCTTGCAAAGCTAATCCCTTCTATGGCTTTTGTGAGTATCAATGATTTCATACAGGAGTGATTACCTGACTGCTTTATGCCTCATTGGCAATTCACAAAACACCGAGGCTTCATTAAGTCATGAAGAGCACCCCAGTATCCATGGAGACAGAGAGGCTCCCCTTCCAGGTGCCTTGGTAGCTTCTCCTTCATCATCATCTTGCACAGTTCATATGCACAGCTTGGTGCTGTGGAATGCAGCTCTTCCTTCAAGATTACTCAAACTCTTGCCGGGGCGGATGGTGGGAGGAGGGGTGTGGAATATGTACCTGTTTACTCCAGACTCTTGCCATGCACGAAAACAAGAATTCTAAATGCCGGCATAAATAAAGTGCACAACAGTATAGTTTATTTAAAAGTGGAGAAAGTACACACACACACACACACATACATACGTGTGCCTGGGTCACCCATTAAGGGGATTTGCCCTACTGGGGGAAGAGGTAGGGGAAGGAAGACACAAACATTCTCTCTAGTCGAATGATGCAGCGAAAGAGAAATCACCCATCCTCACCCGTGGTCGGTCTCCTTTCTGAGCTTGGGACAGTGCCTTTCCAGGCGTGAAGCCTCTTGGGAATTATCTGGCACCTCCACAAGTTCCACACAGAGCTCAGTATCCATATTTTCATGGTGTCTTCCTTCCAGGTCCCCGATGAAGTAGGTGCATCCCAGGAGAGTGAGCATTCTGATGGACAAGGAGGAAGATGGAATCATGCATTGTGATGGCTTGCGACTTCAGTTCACCAGACCTGCCTCGCCCATTTCAAAACCTCTTCAACTGTAAAGGCTTCCTTGATCTCCAACCACTCTGCAAAGTGAGTTCCCTTCTCCACTGTCTACTTTATACATATCTGGGTACGCACATGTCATATTGTTTGTGAATTGTCTGTGTTTAAAAGAATTGGGGACAGGAGAATGACCAGCACAATAACTAATGACTGATTCTCTACCTCCAAGTGCCAGGAACCCATGTGGGAGCCAGTTTGTGTCCCAGCTGCTCCATTTTCCATTCACCTCTCTGTTTGTGGCCTAGGAAAGCAGCAGAAGATGGCCCAAAGCCTTGGGACCCTGTACCTGTGTGGGAGACCTGCAAGAAGCTCCTGGCTCCTGGCTTCGGCTCAGCTCCAGCCACTGTGGCCTCTTGGGGAGTGAACCAGTGGATGGAAGATCTGTCTTTCTGTCTCTCCTTCTCTCTGTAAATCTGATGTTCCAAGAAAAAAAAACCAAAAACCTTAAAAAAAGAGAAATCATACTTAGCAGAATTACAGACCCTTTCCCAGCACTTAGAAACCTTAGGCAAAGTCCAGCTCCCTGCTTGTGCCCTGGGAAAGCAGTCGAGGATGGTCCAATGCTTTGGGACCCTGCACCTGTGTGGGATACCCCGGGGAGGTTCCTGGACCCTGGCTTCGGATCAGCATGGCATCGGCCATTGCGCTCACTTGGGGAGTGAATCAATGGACAGAAGATCTTCCTCTCTGTCTCTCCTCCTCTCTGTATATCTGACTTTCCAATAAAAAAGAAAGAAAGAAAGAAACCTTAGGCAAAGCTGTAAGGAGTTATTTGAATATCCCACCCTGGACCTGGTGCCATTTTTCTTCCTCACAGCTCATGAAATTTGCGCCAGTCTAGCCATTTACCAATTAGATGTAACCTGGCATTCCACCTGAGAATCCCACCCCCAATCTTCCAGCCCCTTTCCCCAACCCCACCCACTCACCAATCATCGCTAGGCATTCACCTGCACTCACCAATCCCCTGGGGCCTGCCCTTAAACCCTCCCAATCCCCGCCCCACACCTTGCCAACAAAAAGGCCCCCCCCCCCCCCCCCCCCCCCCCCCGGTACAGCTCTATCTCTTTTCTCTTTCTCCTTCCCCACATTCCCCTTCACCTTTACCTGTCCCACTAGTATAAACCTCCTAAGATACCTCGTTGCGTCTGGTGTTTTCAGCTCACAGTAAAGAACCAGGTTGCGGGAATTAGCTGCGTGTAAAATATCGTAATATCGTATGAACTAGAACTAGAACTCTAAACTGTTTTAAATAACTAACAAAAGCTACCTCCCATCCCTGTAGATACAATTTCTTCATCTGTAATATGGGACATTCTTCATAGATTTACTGGGAGAATTAAATAAGAAAAATGCTTAGTACCAAGACTCATTACATCATATTTAATGAGTGTTGGAAATTATTAGCTGAAGACATGAATTATTCCTTAAATGAACCCTTTGGGTTTCTGACTCTGCTTTTTTACATTTTAGATAGTGTTTTTTTTTTTAAAGATTTATTTTTATTATTTTTTTATTGGAAAGGCGAATATGCAGAGAGGAGAGAGAGAGAGGAAGATCTTCCGTCCGATGATTCACTCCCCAAGTGAGCGCAATGGCTGATACTATGCCAATCCGAAGCCAGGAGCCTCTTCTGGGTCTCCCATGCGGGTGCAGGGTCCCAAAGCTTTGGGCCGTCCTCGACTGCTTTCCCAGGCCACAGTCAGGGAGCTGGAAGGGAAGCGGGGCTGCCGGGATTAGAACCGGCGCCTATATGGGATCCCGGGCGTGCAAGGCGAGGACCTTTAACCACTTGCGCCACCGCGCTGGGCCCTAGATAGTGTTTTTGAAACATCCTTTGCATCCATAAATCAGGGAGGGGCAGGGGACAATAGTTTAGAACTACCACTTTTTTTTTTCAGGAGGCATCCCTATTTTAAGGAATGATTGTATTCAAATACAAAGCCTTATGAGCAAGAATGGAACCTGATGACATGCCCTTCACGAGGTGACAGTGACCCTTGAATAGAGCAATTTGGATCCTTGTCTAACAAGGCACTTGCAATAGGAGCTCAGAGAGAGACAAACAACCCTGCTCCAGGAATCAGTAGCAAGAGCCTGTGTCTCAATGCCAGGCCTCTGGGCTTGGGTTTCCTCTGCTCCAGGAGAGGATGTGGGTGCTTCCTTCTCAACCACCACACCCGACACTGCCACCCTGGACTTCCTGTGGTGACCACATGCAGCTGGGTGTTGCAATCATCTGGGGCTCTGCTTCAGGAAGTGGACTTTTGTTTCTGGCTCCAGGAAGAGGAGAAGGGGTGGTGCAGATAATAATGGCGATAATGGTGGTGATGTTCATTAGGACTCTGAGTTACAAGTTTTGCAACTGACCTCAAACTTGAATGAACAGACTTCAAAGTGAAGACTTACTGGCTCAATTAACCAGAAAGGTTGGGGTACTGCCTGGAACCAAGTGTTCACCAGGGTGCTCAGGAATCTGCTTCCTTATTGGCTCAGTACGTCTGATTGGCTTTAGTCCCAGAAGGGCTGTCAGCATGTGGTGGCAAAGATGGCTTATGGCAGGCATGCTTATGTTCCACCAGTTTTAGAGCCTCACCTGACACTGTACTTCCTCGTAGTCCCACTGACATGATTTGATAGGCTCCCATTAGCCCAGTGGGGATCACGGGAGCTCTGGCAGATGTTAGTTGACTGGCTGGGCCTGAGTCCTAGGAAACACTTCCCCAGTTCTGAGAATGAGAGACCAATTGTGCCTTAATCCACATGTTATCAGCAGAAGAAAAAAAAGATCAAAACAGTAGCTGTCCACTCATCCACTCTCCTGACCATTCTGGATATTGTAACAATAAGAAGCAGGAAATAAGAATGCCTAGAAGAGTCTCAACATTTTTACCAAGATATTACCAGAAACACTGGTTTTACATTTGCCCAGCCCCCCCAAATCTGACCTCCAAAATGTACCTCATTTCAAGCTCCTTTTTTTTAAAGACATTTATTGTTATTGCAAAGGCAGATAGATATACAGAGAGGAGGAGAGACAGAGAGATCTTCCACCCACTGGTTCACTCCCCAAGTGGTCATAACTTGGTGCTAACGCTAATAATTGAATTCTTGAAGCCTACATGGGAGAACTGGATTGAATTCCCAGATCTCAGCTTTGGACAGACCCAGCCCTGGCTGTCATGTGCATGTGAGAAGTAAACCAGCAGATAGGAATGGTCTGAGTGTGTTTCTTGGTCTTTCTGCCTCTTTCTTGGAAAGGCAGAGTTACAAAGAGGAGACACTGAGAGATAGATCTTCCGTCTGCTGCTTTACTTCCCAAGTGGCCACAACAACTGGAGCTGAAGCGATTCGAAGCCAGGAGCTTCTTCCGTATTTCCCACAGGGTGTGAAGGTTCCCAAGGCTTTGGGCCATCCTCTACTGCTTTCCCAGACCACAAACAGGGAAGTGTAGTGAAACTGGAGTAGGACTAGCACCAATACCCATATGACATGCCAGATTTTGAAGGCAAAGGATTAGCCTGTTGAGCCACTGCACTCAGACTGGCAAAACATTTTCTTAAAAAAAAAAAAAAATAGAAAATGTGGGCCTGGTGTGGTAGCCTAGTGACTAAAGTCCTAGCCTTGCATGCACCAAGATCCTATATGGGCACCAGCTCGTATCCTGGCTGCTCCACTTCCTTTCTAGCTCTCTGCTTGTGGCCTAGGAGAGCAGTAGAGGACGGTCCAAAGCCTTGGGACCCTGCACCTGCATGGGAAACCTGGAAGAAGTTCCTGGCTCCTGGCTTTGGATTGGCTCAGCTCTGGCCATTGAGGCCACTTGGGGAGTGAGCCAGCAGACAGAAGATTTTTCTCTCTGTATCTCCTTCAGTCTGTATATCTGCCTTTACAATAAAAAAAAATAAATAAATAAGTCTTTTTACCCAAAAAGGTATGTTAGTAATGGAATCTTAATAAGCAGGTCCCTGTTAAGTTAATAATATGGAAATATTCTAAAAGTGCATTAAAAAGTTGTTTAGCCCATTCAAAAAATAAAATAAAATAAATAGTTAATGTATGCCTTTTTAATTAAAAAATGTGTTTATTTTCATTTGAAAGGAAGATTTACAGAAAGGGGATATAGAGAGAGAGCTGCCAAGCGCTGGTTCACTCCCCAAGGGCAGCAACAACGGGAGCTGAGTCAGTGTGACAACAGGAGCCAGGTGTTTCGTTCAGGTTTCCCATATATGCATTGATGCTGCTTTTCCAGGTCATAGCAGGGGGTTGGATTGGAACTAAAGTAGCTTGTATGTGATCCAGCGTCCATATGGGATGCCAGCGCCATAACAGAGAATTAGCTTGCTATGCCATCAGGCCAGCCATGCACATAATGATGTATTGACATACTTGAAAGAGTTACAAAGAGAGAGGAAGGGACACAGTGATTTTTTTTCCATCCTCTGGTTCACTCCCCAGATGGCTGCAATAGTCAGGGTTGAGCCAAGCTGAAGGCAAGAGCCAAAAGCTTCTTCTGGGTCTCCCTCAGGCATGCATGGGCACAAGCATTTGGGCTGCCCTCCACTGTACATCAGAAGATGGGAGGTAGAATGACCAGGACCTGGATGAATGACCAAACACGACGCCTGCATTGCAGACAGCAGCTTAACCTACTATATCACAGTGCTGGCCTGATGGAAGCTGTCTTGACATGATTAGCTCTGCGGCAAGCATCTGCTGCAGCGATGAAGACATAGCTTGTAACTTTCACATCCTAACTAGAAGACCTGGGTTTCAGTCCCAGCATCCTGGGACGCAGCGGCCGATAGATGACGTGTGGATCTCTGCCTGCCATCTGGAAGAGCTAGACCGAGGTCCTGGCTCCTGGCTTTGATCTGGCCCAGTTCTGGCCGTTGCAGGCGTGTGAGAAATGAAACAACAGATGGTAAATAGATATCTGTCCCTATCTCAGGATGCTTCTGTCACCTTTCAAGCAAATCTTCAATAGACACAAAAATACAGTAAAATAGGTTTATGCAAGAGGCCTGTAA